GTAAATGGTAGTTCTTCGCTCCTGAGAAGTACTTGGAGTAGTCAGTGAGCTAACCCAAAGCATCATGTGCCTGGAACATAGTATGCACTCTGCAGAAGTAAGTCTTTGAGAAGTCTGGAAAGAATTAGGAAAGAAGAAAGGGGGTAGAATGAGGGGACTGGTTTCAGAGGTTGGCTTAGAACAGGGGAGACTTGTATGTGATAGGAGGCCCTGGCTCATTTCTCCTGCTGTCTTGGGTTGCTCACAGCTAAGCCCAGTGCCGTTCTGGCCTACAACTCTGTCCTTCTCCATGTTCCTGGAGCAGTTTTAATGGGAGCAGCAGATCACAAGCTACGGCTTGTGCAACTGAGCACCATTCATTCCCTCAGGCCCCAGTCCTAGGTCCCAGGGATGCCACAGGCTGGACCTCCGTGCCCAAGTCACAGCTCCCCCAGTCCCTTGGACTCCGGTTCCTAGAACTGGGCTTATGTTAGGTTCCCAACACCGCATACTTCCTGAGGACTGGTACTGGCCCCGTCTGCCACCCGGGATCATCTGCCCATGTTTCCTACTGGTATGTCACATCCCTCTGAAATCCAGGTGGAGCCCACAGTCTCCTTTTGGAAATCCCTCACATCAGCTGCTTCCAGAACCATCACAGAACTTGCCACATCCTCTGTATCCTGGGCCTTGTCCATGAGCTGATCCTCTGCTCCCTTGTCCATCTCAGACCACTCCTCAGGGCTGAGCTGTAGCAAGAGACCCCCCTGCGACAATGCTGGGTTCAGCTATATTGAACTAACATTTCTGAACACAGCATCTAAGCTCAGTGCTAGGCAATATAAAGATGGATAAGATATGTTCCAACCTTCCCGGTTTTAAAGTGCCATTAAAAACATCTGCACAGGACCATAGTTCAAGGATAAAGGTTGGGCCTTGAAGATGAAAAGACACCATCTCTTTGGAGATAGGAGAAAAGGAGAATACACAGGCCCAGCCCCTTCTTGGGATAAGGGACGCAAATGGGTATGAGGCCTTCAGCTGAGTGGAAAAGGTTTGGAACAAAACCCAAGGGGGCCTTAAGGAGGACAATGGAAGAAAAACCGAGGAGCAGTTGAGACCCAGCTGAGATCAGATATGTGATCTTATGAATGTGGGAGGTTTATTTCTCCCAAGTAATACTCAGCAGTTCAGAGCAAGACAGGGGGAAGGGAGGGCAGAGCTAAGGACTGGCCAGGGGCCAACAGCTGACAGACAAGTCTAGAGTGTTTATAAACACATGGCTAAGACACTGGACCATGACTGAGTGGACAGGAATCCAGGTGAGGCCAGAACAATGGAGTGGGGGTGGAGGCCACAGAATCAGTGACCAAGAAGATGAGGCCAACGAGTAGGGTCAGAGGGCATGAGGGAAGCATGGAGAGAGCATCATGGAGGATGGCAGTTCATCCCCTGCTCTGGAGACCACAGACTCCACACCATATTTGTGTCTTCTTTCCTCCTCCCTCCCACTCACTGTCCCTTCCACAGATACTATGTGTTATCTGTTTCCAACATGCTAATCACAGGACAGCCTAGACAAGGGCCCTTGCCTGGTAGTCCAGAGTTTAGTGCAGAAGAGAGACACTTCAACCCCTCACACCCAGTGTAGCAAGCGTCCTGTGGGGTGCACAGACAGGATGCCATGGGAACACCCCAACACATGACCCACACTGGGAGTTTGCAGAAGGCTTTCCAAGAAGTGATGTCTGAGCCGGGACCTCAAAGATAAGAGGAAGTTAAGCAGACAGAAGGGTGAGGGGAGTGTAGCTCTGCAGGCTGACACCTCTCCGCACCGCCCACCTGGTAGAAGCTGGCTTTCACTTCCATCTCTCAGCTGGAACTGCTTTCAGATATCACCACTCATCGCCTCACCACATCTTGTCTTCGTGGGGCGCACAGAGCCCCTAAACTTTCCCTAACTTGATGTTGTCACCTTTTGCTTTTCTCCCTCCTCTCTGACCTCCCTTCTCTGCTTCCCCCTTTGTGCCCTCCCCTGCCCCCGAAATATAGGTGTCGGTGTGTTCTTCAAGGCTGTGACCACACGTCTTGCTCTCCAGCATCTCTCTTCTTCCATAATCATGTCAACATCCATATTTTCCTCTCCGGCCCTGGCCTCCCTCAAGGACCCAGCACCATGTTTTCAACAGCCACGGACATCTCATGGCCTTATCCATCGCTCTTCAAAACTCTTGATTTCATCGCCTTTCGCCTCATGACGGTACCCCTGTGGTGGCTCCAGCCTTATCCCTTCCTTTCCCAGATGCGTGGTCTGGAGTCTCATTAATCGTCACCTCCGAGGCCATCTTGCTTGCCCCGCCCCCACTCCCCACAGTCACCTGGCCTGTACGTGCTCCCTAACTGCCATGTACCTGTGCTGCACACACAGTAGGGGGCATTTCCTGCTCCGCTCCCGCATAGCTCTGAGCAGGCCTGCTTCTGGAGGGAGCTCCCGAGTGAGCGCGCCGTTGTATTTGAGATGAAGCCAGCTCCTCAGACGGGCTTCCAGGCCTCAGTGTGGCCTCAGAGTGCCTCCCTCTATCGCCTCTCATGGCCTCTACTTCAGAGGAAGTGCCCTAAGGCGCCACGTTGCCACTTCCTTGCCGGCTCACGTGGGCCTCTGGTTCAGTGCCCTTGCCTCCAAGCGCCCACTGTCCAGACCCTTAGCAAAGCTTATCTCAAGTATCTCTGGTTCAAAGAAACCCCCTGTGGTTTTTTCCATCAGAGGAAACGTCTCCTCTCTGACTGTCTACACCTCCCTATTGGAACCCATCACTGTCTGCTTGTATTTTAGTTAGTTGTGTGCGTCTTTACTTCCCCAGCCTATCTGAAGGCAGGCCTTGAGGTCAGGGGTTCAGATTTCTTTATCTCTGTATACAGGTTCAACACAGGGAACTGGTACATCCTGGGTGCTCCATCCGGAGGTGTGGAGTAAAGGCGTGAATGTGGTTTCCGTAAGGCCATTTTAAAAAATGCAAAAATAAGTCTCTTCTGATTTCACTCTTAGAAAACTAACCTAAGGGGCGCCTGGGTGGCTCAGTTGGTTAAGCGACTGCCTTCGGCTCAGGTCATGATCCTGGAGTCCCGGGATCGAGTCCCGCATTGGGCTCCCTGCTCGGCAGGGGGTCTGCTTCTCCCTCTGACCCTCCTCCCTCTCATGCTCTCTGTCTCACATTCTCTCTCTCAAATAAATAAATAAAATCTTTAGGGAAAAAAAAAAGAAAAGAAGAAATCTATTAAAAAAAAAAAAAAGAAAAAGAAAACTAACCTAAGAAGTATCATAACATAATAATCAGAGCAAGAACAGAGATCATAGATATTATTCTATTATTCTGTCTCCATCAACCTTCACAAGTCATTCTGAGTCACGTCATGTCCCTCGTCTCTGTCACAGGGATGATTCTGGCCAGACATTGTCTTTGGTAAAAATGTTCTCCAGGTTATGAGACATCAGGTCACATTTGCCATGTAACGTAGTCTCTCGTTAAAGGAAAGCTCATGGCTTAGCGGGGACCTCCACTTTCACATTTGTGGCTCTCAACACCAGCTGAAGGTCCTGTTTCTGTTTGCTCCATGCATGTTTCCAATTCGGTGAGCAGAACCGTGACTTTGCTGATAAAAAAAAGCATGCCTGCCCAGTCCTGCCACACTTGTACAGATGTGGGAAGGCAGGTCCCTACATGACCCGTCGAACAGTGGCCCTACCATTGTGGAGCTTCTGGGGTTAGGCTTGTAAAAGTAAAAAAAAAAAAAGATTTTTGTTCTTTCAAAAATTTCCTATAATCCTGACCCCCTGTATGCATAGAGCGAGCAGGTTGCTTTTCATTCCAGTTAGGACAGTGATGAGAGGCAAGACTCAAACAGAAACAAGAAATATTTAGATTCGTTGGGGGGTAAGGGGGACGGGGATCTGGCTGGTTAAACATTGGAATGCTTCTTATGTGGGAAAAAAAAATGAGGCTCATAATTAGACAAATGTATCTACATGGCTGAGACATGGGGATTTATGAGCTCAGAGTGAGGGGGAGGGCTTCTTAGATGATGAAGAGAAAAAGACTTTTTAAAAGGCATGACCCCAGGGCATTAGCACATCTTTCAGGGCGAAACTGAGAACGCAGAGCACCTTAGGGATGAGCCAGTCTGTCGGCCACCTTAATCTACAAATGAGGATGCAGAGACCCAAGCCAGTAAGTGAGGTGTTTCAGGTTATTAGTGTAGCTGGATGAAAACCCAGGGCTTCTGACCCCACGCTGGTGCTGCTTCTGGAACCTGATGGAGGGGGTCATACTAGCTGCAGGGAGAGGCTTTCATTGTCTGAAGATGTCGTTAACATAAACAAACGTGTCCTGAGGATGGTCTCCTCTGCTGACTTCATTGAAAACACACACACACACACACACACACACACCACCCCCCCCACCCCCCTCCAGCGAGGGAAACTATATCCCTCCATGGAGCCTATCCTGTAGCACGGCCTTGTTTGTAAAAACAGAACCCCCAGCAGAAGGGCAGAAACGCGATCATCTCTCAAGAGATTTGGACACTTCCTTTGGACCGTGTCTCTTGGCCGTTTTGAAATATATTTTTAAAAAATACTATAGATACTGAAATGAATTACAACCTAGACTGACAGCAAGCCCAAACAAAGAGTAGATAGGGAATAAAATAAAAATCATCCCTCGTGTGAAATAAAAGTAAAATGGTAGCACATTGTTTCATCCACTGGGGTCTGCTGTGTGCCAGGCACTGTCCTGGGAACAGAGGACCCAGCACAGCGAGCAAACAGACCAAAGCTCCTGCCCTCCAGGAGCTCCTATTCTAGAAGAAACGCATAGTTTCATACCCATTACAATACTGTTCTTGGGATCCATCACCACCCACCCTGCCAGGCTCTGGTGGAAATTTAACTACATTGGAAAATTGATACTCTCTCCGTTCATATATGGGTATACTTCTAATGAAGGTTGCTTTCTGGTTGACAGGGAGAAGAAAATGGCTTTCCAGACAGTACTGGAGATCCCCTTTCAGGTAAAGGATTGATTCTGCAGAGGTCTGGGCTTTTCTGATAACTGGCATGATGGAATTAAAGATAATTTGCAAATATGTTTATCATTAACTTTAAAAATCTGTATTATAGGCTAGAGAAACTTTCCAACCACAGGCCCAGGGGAAGTGGAAGGAAATGGTAACCAGATTTCACAAAAGCCTTCAAAGAGTATTTTCTCCGAGCTGACCCTATTTGGCTTGTGAAGGGCACAGCCGGGTTCTCAATAGGAAAAGTTTAGGAGGGGATAACAGTCACAACAGAGCTGGGGGTCTTGGCATTGATGGAAAACTGCCAGGTGGAAGAAGGCAATGGGGCTGGGGCCAAGCAGGCCCATGGGAAGGGCCAGCTCAGCCAGTCACTGCCTCCCATCCCTTCTCTGTGCCTGGGGCACTCCATTAGCCAAGGAGCCCCTCCTGCACTGGCCATGTGCTCCCCCCAGTCTGCCGCTGGTGTGTTTAACCAGAGAAACAGTAAGATCTGCCTCCTTCCCCACTTGTTACTGTAAGTTGGAAACTTTGGCAGTCTTCAGATTTCTTATTAATTCATCATGGAGAAAATCTGGAGTGAGCATTAAAAGAAGCTACCAAAAGAATAACTAAAAAACATTAAAACCTCCCTAATGTTTTCTATACCTCTTAAAACACATATTGAAAGACCTGAGTCATCAGGGTTTTGTTTCTTTCTTTCTTGGGGGGAGGGTGGTGGACCCTAAAACCCTCAGGATAATGTGTCACCAATCCTACCTAGACTGTGCCCATGTAACCATGCTGAAAATCGGAACATGTGGTGTATAGTCAACTTTTTCCCCCCCTTAGAAACACAATATGAGCAGTGCCTGGGTGGCTCAGTCAGTTAACATCCCACTCTTGATCTCAGCTCAGGTCTCAATCTCAGGGTCATGAGTTCAAGCCCTGCATTGGGCTCTACTTAAAAGAAAAGAAGAGAAAGAAAAGAAAAGAAAAAGAAAAGAAAGAAAAGAAAAAGAAAGAAAGAGAAAGAAAGAAAGAAAGAAAGAAAGAAAGAAAGAAAGAAAGAAAGAAAGAAAAAGAAAGATAGATGTTAGCAGCAGTTATCTCTGGGTGGTGAGACTCTAGGTGATTTTTTTTTTCATTCAGTAGATTTTTATTTATTAAGGACCTACTGTGTGAGTCTCAGAGCAAAAGTATAGCTCTGGGAGACAGAAGTTGTGATCCTGGTTCCAGTCCAGCCACTACCCTGCTGTGATGAGAGAAGTCAAAGGGGAAACTGAGCCAGCTGAATTTGTACTGGAGCCTTCCCAGCAGGTTTCACGGTACAGGCCTAAGGTCAGGGTCCCATCTGGACACCCTGTTGGAACTTGCCTTCCCTGGACCACACCCCCCCACCAGAGGCTAGGACTGCTGGCCAGTAATTCTCTCTCTTCCACAAATGCTGCAGCCGACAAACTCAGAAGCACTAGCTGGGTGATGTGAGGAGGAGAAAGCATCTTTGCTCACAAGCAGTCAATTTTTGTTTTCTTTCCACTCTCCTATATTTTTTAAATTTCTAACATGAGTGGATATCAGAAAAAATATCTCTTCCCCCAAACTGTAACCTGTATATACAAATTTGTATATAACAAATGATCAGATGTAGGCAAAAATATATAATATGTGATAAAATAACCAAGGAAATCCATAAAAGCCTAACTGATCGACCTCAGTGGTAAGAGCATGAATTTTTTTCCCCTATGCTCATCTGAATTTTCAGATTTTCTGCAGTAAGCACATATTTCTTTTCTTTTTTTTTTTTAAGATTTTATTTATTTGACAGAGATACAGTGAAAGAGAAAGAACAAGCAGGGGTAGCAGCAGAGGGAGAGGGAGAAGCAGGCTTCCCGCCGAGCAGGGAGTCCCATGTGGGGCTCGATCCCAGGATCCTGGGATCATGACCTGAGCCGAAGACAGTGGCTTAACTGACTGAGCCACCCAGGTGCCCCTTTCTTTTCTAATAAAAAAAAAACACACAACACCTGTATTTAAACTTTTAAAAGACTAACACCCTACACACTAATGTGGAATGTGAGCTAAAATGAAAATGGATAAAGTAAGTTGTTTAGGAATATCTATAAACCTTTATGATTTAAGGTTGTTGTTGACTAATAGATTAACTTTAATCAAATTTCAGTTGTCTCTTAAAAAATTATACCTGTGTCAAAATGAAATGGAAGACTTTTGAAGAGAATAAACTTTTCACAGTGATAGGTAAAATGCTTGAGTACAGATGGTGCTGTTGAAGTCAATGCCTTTCGCACCCAGCATGCTACCCTGCACACAAGAGTGAGTGTTCAGGTGTTTGGTTGGATTTTTGTTTTTGTTTTTGTTTTTCATAAACAAGGAGATGAGAGACACTGACTTAATGGCTTTGCTCTTGAGTAAACTGGCAAAAGCTGATCTGTATATTTCGGTCTTTGAGTGAGAGTATCAACTTAAGTAAGCTTTATCGTTTTAGTTACAAACACTAATTTAGCACTTACTATATACCAGGCCCTGTTGTAAGCACTTTAAAGAGCCGCTTAGAAAAAGTGCACATGACAGCTCTGAACTTATTTTCCTCACAAGATGGAGGTTACAGAAGCGATGCAGGGTCACGTGGCTGGTGCTGGGTCATGGGAGTCCTAAGTGGGACTCAAGCCTGGGGCCTGGCCAGGAGCTCAAGCCCAACCACCAAACCAGGCTGCCTCTGGTCAGATGCATTGCCCGGGGAGTACACACATTGAATGCTTGAGTGTCATACAGCGGGGGTGAGGGTCAACTATCTCAGATACAGTCTTAATCGGGAACAAAGCCAAAGCCCACCCTCACACCCCTGCCCCCAAAGTCAGTCTCTGAAACACAGTAATACCTTTCACAAAAAGCTCGATACTTTCCCTGGATCAGGCCCTCAGGCCCTGAACTCAGAGCCTGGATTTTATTTAATTCTTGTCTTTGAAAACCTTAGTTATCTGTGATCCAACTTATAGCTGGTTAAAATAAGCAATGTGGGGACAATGGAAGGCACTGCCCCAGAGGGAGGGATTAGACAGACATGGGAAATGACAGCCGACAGTTTGTAAGCAAGGAAAGAAAAAGAATACAAATCAGAATCAGCTACCCCTGGAAAAGCAGAGTCTCCTTCGTGGAACCAATGAGTAAAGAAGCAAACGCCCGCAGGAGGCAGAGCACAAGAAAGAAGACTCTGCAGTGCCCCCGGTTAATAGAATAATGCACCTGCTCTCCACACTGGGCCAGTTTTTCAAGGATGATTTTCTGACAACCTTGCATAATTCAGCACTTGCCCAACCTAAACCTAATTTCCCCACAGAAATTCATGTAAAATAGGATTGTTACTTTTGTTTCAAATTAGGTCCATTACATGACACTTTGTTCATATGTTTGTGTCACGTAATTTCAGAATCCGAATTCACATGGAATTCTATGCTGAATTTTTACCTGGGTCCTTCCTGACCTAAGTTGTTTTTTTTTTCTTAAAGTGCCCTCTACACTCCAGCTTTGATGACAAAATCGAGGTGCAGGGTGATCTTATAGCCCAGATCCTTCCAATTTGTCAGGTCACAGCTGCTGCCAACTTGATGTCTCCTTAAAAGGGTGTTTTAGAGAGAGAGAGAGAGAATGAAATTGCATTGTTTTTCCCTTTGGTTAAGAGATCAAATGCCCACCAAAAGCCCTTGGGTTAGTTTCTTGGGAGATAAAAATAGTTCTTCAATCATTTTCCAGCTCAAAGCATATAAACTACCTCCGATGAATAATGTGGGGGGTGTGAGTGTGTGTGCACCCCAGTGACTTATCAAAGCCATAAGCTGACATTTTAAATATATTTCCAACCACATTGGAAACCACACACACATAGAAAAAAGCATGAGTTTATACCCTGAACACACATAACTGCCGAAGTATTTGACTCTGCTCTCACACTTTGTTGGTATTTTGCAGGCTCCAAATCTGATAATTTATAGACACTTGGGATAGAGTTATTTTATTTCAAGACCACAATATTTTGCTATTTGCTAAGTTGCCAATAAAAAAATGTTTACTATTTAATTGTTTGAATTAACTCAAGACCTAGTTATCCTGGGGAACATTATTATAAATGATCTAAGAGCTCACAGTGGTCCTGAGCACACTGGAGGGAAACACCCGTGTGGTAATAGTTCTCGAAAAGCCAGAGTGTACAAGATAAAACGGCACCTACCCTGCAGGGAGACACATTAAGTCAATCTGTGATCTACTGCCAGCATCTGACTGGAGCCAATTTCTAGGCTCAAGTAATCATGACCTTTGTGAATCCTGAATCTTGTTCCAGTTTACAATTAACTGTTAATTGACCAGTATTTTAAAACCCGCCAGCCCCAAACCGGAGTTAGACATTGCGCTGTTGGATGTGAGCTGTTTCTTACCGTTGTTTTAAATGACAGAGCCACACCTTGAGGGCGAACATTCTAGAATCCTGAAATGCTTTTTTAAAGTCTATGTAAATGTGTGTGTGAGAGAGAGGATGAAGAGTAGGGGGAGAGGACAGAAAACACCCCATAGGAAAACCCACTCATCTACTGTTGAGTGTGGGGACATGTTATCTGTTCAAAGACTTAATCACTGAACAGACACACCATCTCAAAAGTAGCTCTGATTCCAAAATGTAATTATGGTAGGCCCTTCTGACTAAGCACTTACTCTGCGGATGTCTTTAAGGCAATGGTTTTCAACTCTGGCTGCATTTTAGAATTCCCAGGGGAGCCTTTGAAAATTCCCATGTCCCTCCTGCACCCCAGGACCAATTAAACAAGGATTTCAGTGGGTGGGGCCAGAGGGTTGGGGGTGTGGGCAGGGTTCTGGGGGAGGAGGAGTTCCATCTTTGTGGCCAAGGTTGAGAACTACTGCTTTAAAAAGGGCTGTTGGTTGTGCTTCCTTACCCACAGCTATTAATCCTTTAAAGCCTCAACCCACGGCATGGTGGGCAGGCAACA